TTTCTATCATAAAAGTTTATATATAGCACTTGTATATATATATATATATATATATTTTACACTTTAATTCTGTATATTTATGCCTCGTTCACTTCGCAGATTTGAGTTTTTAATTCAAGTTGAGATGTGACATTTTTTTAAATCTTTTCACTGTAACAGAAAAAATTTGATGTGATATTTTTTTAAAATTTTTTACTGTAAAAACCTAAAACTGAAAACTCAAATCGGTGAAATGAACGATGCCTTTAAGTTATTAAGAGATCTAAAAGCATATTAACATGAACATAAGGTAAAATAATAATAATAATAATAATAATAAAGAAATAGAGCAAGCACCCAAATAAGTCTAAGTAGGAATCATAACCGTAAAAAATATATAATATAATAGATTTCAATATAATTAGCAAGTATCTAAAAGCCAAATTAGTTTGCCGCAAGGTTTGGTCCTTGGCATGGCAATCATTCACTTATTTATTTTTTCCACGAAAAAAAGAGTTAGTAGTTAATATTTTTTTAATCGTTATATTTATATAAAAAATTATTTATTTTACATATTTTTTAATTTTATTTAATTTTAATAAGATTTAACTGTTAGAAAAGATATTGTATTTATTTGCGTGTGTTTTAAGTTTAACCGGGTCAAACAAAAAAAAATTACCGCGAATTAAATAAGTGATGTTTTTTATTTTTTATTTTTGCAGTGTACGCGTTTTCAAACTTATTCTCTGGGTCTAAATTAACCCGCAAGCACGCGAACATGGTAATCTTCTCCTTTTTTTTTTGTTCAACTGAGAGTTTTCGATTTTGGTGACTGCTAAGCTCCATTTGTTCTGCTCTAAATCCAAATAATAAAAAAAAAAGCTTGCTTTGCTCAGAGTTGGTTCGTGGATAAACAAGTTAAAAAAAGTCTTCGGTTTTGATTCGTTCGTTCTTGGTTTGGTTGGATCGTCAGAAAATGAGCGAGAAATGGAAGTTCTATCGATTCAGAAACCGCTTGGGAATCTTGGCTATGGTGATCTTGTGCTTATCGCTTCAGAATCTGAGTCTCTGTTGGTCTCTCAACGATGAGGGTTCGTTTATGTTTCTTCTTAATTGTTCTTTCGCTTGTAAGGCTGAATTAGCTTGAAAATTGAAGTAGATAAAATGTTTGACAAAAGTTTTTTTTTTTCTTTTTTCTTTTTATTGGTTCAGGTTTGGCGCTTTTGAGGTTTAAGGAGAGAATCACAAGTGATCCATTTAACTCTTTGACCGATTGGAAAGATGATAGTGGGGAAGTTAATGCCTGCTTTTGGTTTGGTGTCGAGTGCTCAGATGGAAAAGTCGTCGCTTTGTAAGTTCTTCTATCTCTTCCTTGATATACAAAGGACTTTTTTTAAAGAGGAAATTGAGCTCTTCTATGGGAAAAGAAAAAAAAAAAGGAGCTCTGTAATTTGTTTTTTGGTTATGTTGGACAAGGAATAAAGATGAAATGGAAATAAATAAATAAATTCTCTTAGGCTGTTTAAGTTAAAAGGATTTTCAATTTTTTTCTTTACTCTGTTTTCCTTGGCAACTGAGGAATATGTGGAACTCAGGAGTTGTTGCTCAAAAGAAAGAGTCAGGAAGATGGTTTCAGCCTAATTCTATATGTTGTGATATTTGATCGCGTAATTCATTTCGGTTTCATACAAATTGAATGTTTAGATAATATTTGTCACATGGAGCAATCTCTTGCCTTCTTTTACCTTCTACACCCTCTTAATTTTGGTTTCTACTTATTACTTTACAATCTGACAAAAAAAGGGGGGTAAAGAAAAGAAAGGAAGGAAGAAAAGGAAGAATCTTAAGTTTTAATTAGACTGCAGAATAATTCACTAAATATTCCTTAATCATGGTCTTTTTCCATGAGTTAAATAGGCTCTACATTCTAATTTATGTACCCTCATCAAAGTAAGAGGTTTTTTAGCATTCAGTCGTGAGTCAATACAGAAATTAGATACTTATTTTTATCAATTTTTAGTGTACATGTACTCTTCTCTCTCTCTCTCTCTCTCTCTTCTTTTGCAGAAAGTCATTATAACTTTATTTTTGTCTAATGAATCCTAATATTAGACGTGTACGTTGTGCAGAAACTTGAAAGATCTCTGTCTTGGAGGAACACTGGCGCCAGAACTTAGACGCCTTTCCCATGTAAAATCTATGTAAGCAAGCATTTCTTATCTTGCTAATTGGTGCTATACATATTAGAGGTTCATACTCTTTGTTTCTTTTTAGTGTTATCAATCTCAATCCATTGTTTTCTGCAGTATCTTGCGGAACAACTCCTTTACTGGAGTCATTCCTGAAGGAATCGACAAGTTAGAGGAGTTAGAGATGCTGGATTTAGGATACAATAACTTCCGTGGACCACTTCCGGTGGACCTTGGCAGTAATTTGTCATTGGCGATACTGTAGGTTCATCAAGTCACAAGCAGTTCTACTTTTGTCTTCAACATCATTCCTTTATATATCTATTTTATGGACCTGCTTTTGTGCCTGCATTTGCAGACTCTTGGACAACAATCAGTTTCTTGGTAGCTTGTCCCCTGAAGTTCATAAACTAAAGATGCTCTCTGAGTTTCTAGTCGACGAGGATCAACTATCTGTTGCAGCTAAAGAATTATCTTGCAACCAAAGACCAAATGCGTGGTATGTAACGGGATGCCTTTAACCGGAGCAGATAACAAAAATCTCTATCAAACACTATTGCACGCATTTAAAAATCTGTATCAATTCCATGGCTTCTAGCAATTTTGATCTTGTGGTTTCTTCTTGCCTTTTCGTTTAGACTGCATTTTGAGACTGTTCATGTTCTAATGTGACTAGTAAAATGCTGTTTTTTTTTGCCAGGAACGTCAACCAGGCAGAAGACCACATTCATCGAAGAGTGTTACAAGCAACTACACGTCGACAAGGGGATGCTCCTCTACTGCCTTCTCCTCCTCCATCACCATCTCCATCATCATCAGGAAAAGCTGACATTGCACCAAAACCAAAGGCAACTTTGCCCCCTCCACCACCCCCAGTTCCTGCTCCGAGTCCTTCTGCAACTGTCAACCATAACAATTCCTCTTCAAAGAGTAATAGTGTTGCGATATTGGCTGGAGCCATCGGGGGCGCAGTAGTTCTTGCGGTTGCCGTAGTTGGCTATCTATGTCTTAAAACAAAGGTAGCTATTGTCAAACCTTGGGCAACAGGATTGAGCGGACAACTTCAGAAAGCATTTGTGTCTGGTAAGTCTTCCTTCTCATGAAAAAAAAAAAAAGAAGAAAATCTGCTGCAAATTTTGTGTGTGAGTATTGATTTGAAGTTATGTTTCAGGCGTTCCAAAGCTTAAGAGATCAGAGCTTGAAACAGCTTGTGAAGATTTCAGCAATGTGATAGATTCTTCATCAATTGGAACACTGTACAAAGGGACGTTGTCGAGTGGAGTTGAAATAGCTGTAGCCTCAGTGGCTGCAACATCTGCCAAGGAATGGTCAGAAAACTTAGAAGTGCAGTTTTTGAAAAAGGTACTGGTACAGAAAAATGCTACAAGACAACATTGGTTTATACTATTCAGTGTGACAATTCCTAATAGTTGTTTGGTTATGTTTTCAGATCGACACATTATCTAAAGTGAACCACAAGAATTTTGTCAATCTTATTGGGTATTGTCAAGAAGATGAACCTTTCACTAGAATGATGGTTTTTGAGTATGCTCCAAATGGAACTCTCTTTGAGCATCTACATAGTAAGTACCTGGCCTAGTCATTTAAAGTTTCACATGCCAAAAGTTTCAATAGCATACCACCAAGTTACAATTTCTCTTGGTGTGCCACTTTCTGGCATGAAATCTAATGCTAGTGGATCTGATTGCAGTAAAAGAAGCTGAACACTTGGACTGGGGAATGCGACTGAGAATTGCGTTGGGCATGGCTTACTGCCTAGACTACATGCATCGGCTGGAGCAACCTATAGCCCACAAAAACTTAAGCTCTTCAGCTATTCGTCTCACCGAGGATTATGCTGCGAAAATTGCTGAATTCAGCTTCTGGAACGAGATTGCTGTGGCTGCTCCAATGGAATCTCTGGGGATCAAAAAGCTTCCAAGCACACCCTCATCAAGCCCAGAATGTAATGTCTACAGCTTTGGTGTAATATTGTTTGAGATGGTCACGGGCAGGCTTCCTTACTCGGTAGACATTTGCTCTCTTGAAGACTGGGCATCAGACTATCTTAGAGGAGACCAACCCTTGAGAGAAATGGTGGATCCTACTCTAAGTTCATATGAAGAAGAACAGTTGGAGCTAATTGGAGAAGTCATGAAGTCTTGTGTCCATCCCGACCCAAGACAAAGACCGGCAATGAGAGAAGTTTGTATCAGACTGAGAGAGATAACGGGGATAACTCCCGATGGAGCATCGCCTAGGCTCTCTCCCCTTTGGTGGGCAGAGCTTGAACTCATGTCCACAGAGGCAATCTAATAAAGGTTGCAACTTTAAGATGTAAGTATAAAAAGTTCTACATTCTGTAGTTGGCCTCAGGTTTGATAGTGCTTGTATCTATTATTGCAGTACTATAATCATTGACGTTTGGTTGGAGGATTCAAACCATATGATTCGAACCATTTTTTATTTACATGTATTTTTTGTGAGAGAAAATACTGTAGAGAACCACGAATCATGATTCGAATCAGGGAACGAATCCCTCTGCCAAACATCCTCTTAGTTGTACATAACTGCAACACGAGAAAAATATAGGAAAAAATCTTCCATCTTTTTCCCTTTCTCGCTTTTTGTTTTTTATTTTAGAGAAAAATATAGGAAAAAATCTTCCATCTTTTTCCCTTTCTCGCTTTTTATTTTTTTTTTTTTTTTTATAATTTGAATTTTGTTGCTTTTGGCTTCAACAACATTGTGAAAAATACACAAACGGCTATTAAAAAATTCAGGAGTCTCTGATTTTCTATCATCTCTCGGAAAGTTCCTCCATAACAGAGACAATAATTTTTAAGAATACAATAGGGGGAAAAACGAAAAAGAAAGAAAAAAAAAAAACCCTCAAATTGGAAAAAGCCATGAAGTATTTCAATTCTCTTCCTCGTTTGGATTAGGAAAAAAAAAGGGGGGCAAAATATAACTTGTCAATGAAAATGGTCCCATTTCATTGCACATAAGATGGAATGTATAGAAACAACAAGAATAGGAATTCTACCTTACAGCTTTCCCGTACACACGATTGTTCCTCAAGCAATCAAACTCCTGTTTGGCCAGTTTGAGCTGCAAATAAAATTGTTTGTTCAAAGATATTTGAGCTCAGATTCAAGGGCCAGCTCTTTATGATCCCTGCCTTTTGGCTTTGCCAAGCCATTTTGGAACCATTAAGGGCTCATTTCTTTGTAGTGTTTAAATCTATAGTTTTGATTCTACTATAGTGTTTTCTTCTCATAAAAAATTTAAATTTCAAATGTCAACATTAAAAATCACTGGTTAAAACACATGAACTAAACGGGCCCAAAAATATGAGATTTGAAGCATTTTAACATTCGCTCAATACTAAAAACCAAAATTCAAACTGAAGAGATATCGAATCTCAAATGTTTGGGTAACCACTTCCTTTATTAAGAGTTAAGAAAAAAATAAATAAAAAAGAACGCAAAAATATGAACAGCTTCCTGGAAAGATCAGGTTATATAGTTAAAAACATGTTGCGAGACAAAACAAAAAATGATATATATGTCTTGCAAAATAGATTAGGACGAGAAAATCTTTTAGATTGATTTGTCATCCAACGTGTGAAAAGAATATCGGCATTAAACAAAATAAATGTGGCCTTCACATATTAGCCGTTGACATGCAAGCTTAGTTGCTCCCACGTATTATATAATCTCAACAAAACTCTCACATAACCCAAACAAGCCACAACTATATAAATGCCACCCTCGTGCAAAACCACTCACCATCAAGAAAAGCTTCCTTCTTCTCCAATCAGCTCTAATTAGTCCCTTAAGACCCATCAAAGCAAATGGCAAGAATTCAGCTCATAATCCTCATCTCATGTCTCCTTCTCCTCCCATTGGCCTTCCCCTCCATAGCAGCCAATGAAGATGTCCCAACCAAGCCGGCGGAGAATAAAGTCGACGTTGTTGTGGAAGGCGTGGTCTACTGCCAGAGCTGTGACCGGTTCGGAACATGGTCTCTAACTGATGCTGAGCCGATTCCTTCGGCTAAAGTTAGTGTCATCTGCAAGAACCACAGGGGTCAAGTCAGCTTCTACAAGGCTTTTGAATCAGACAGCAAAGGGTATTTCTATGCCGAGCTCGAGGGCTACAAGATAAGCCATGTTCTGCTTGACCATCCCCTCCAAGCGTGCAAAGTGAAGCTTGTCTCCTCTCCTAATGCGAATTGCAGCCTCCTTTCCAATGTCAACTATGGAATGTATGGATCCCCTCTTCGATATGAGAAGAAGAGTTTGAGAAGTAAGAATTACGAGGCTGTGATATATGCTGCAGGGCCCTTGGCTTTCCGTCCTAATCATTGCCCTCCGACCACTCATTTCTGATATTTGCCACCGCTATTATCCTTGACGAATGATTAATCCTTAGTTAATCTTTTTTAGTTTTTTGTTTTGTTTCGACTGATGTACTTGATTGAACAAAATAAGCTGTGCTACAAGATTTTAAGCTCTACCTTTATTTACATTCTTGATTTTGCATAGAGAAAACAGAATTAAATGCATTCGAGTTTTGCATAATCCAACATGGATAAATGACTAAAATTGTATTCCAATAACAAAGTATGAGAAAGAAAACAGAGAACAGAGAAATCTGTCAATGTTTCCACAGTTCAAAAGCATGTGGTACATCATTAAACACAATCAAATTCCAAAACAAGAGACTTGGAAAATGGATATACCGCTACTAAAAGTCCAAAGGCATTCCAAACATCTTGTTAATATCATCAATAGCCTCCTTGGTAAACATAGTAGGCTCGTACAAGTCACAACCTCGTGACTTCCCTGATGCTTTTGGCATCGACTTAACTGGTTTATGTTCCATATCATCATCAGGAAGTATTGTAAACCCACCAAAATTATTTTTCACATCAGGTGCCTTGTCCTGCTTCTTCGATCTTTTGGTCCTTACAAAATCTATTGGCTTCCCAAACATGTTATTGATATCCTCCATGGCCTCCTTCAAGTTGATTGTGGGCTCTACCAAGCCATGATGGCAAACATTTTCCGCTACAGACTCGTCCAAGATGGTGGACCCAACAAACCGACGAACAACTGTATCCTCTCTAAACCTTGGTCGAGATGAGACTTCTAAACCCATATCATCAGAACTTTCAGATGGAAGATCCTTTGGACTAGGAAATACAAATACATTTCCGTGTGAAGCAGATCTATCATCTTCCCTAGAATTGCAAATATCACCCTTCTCAAAGCAATCTTCTGCAGGATTTCCATCTTCAGTCCTATCATTTTCTTCATCATCAATAAAAATGCTTAAAGGTTCTTGGTGAACCTGTTGGTTTCCAACTCTATGCTGCGGCAGTGGAAAACTCTTCTCATCCTTTTGGTCTGCTGGCTTGACTAGTCCATCCAAGTTTTCATCAATGAATACCTGGAATGCATTGTCTGAATTGCCATCATTCTGTGGTTGTTTTCGGCGTCTACCAACTGGGGCCACCTCCAAAGGCTCACTAAACATGCTGTTTATGGCATTCATGGCCTCTTTCATGTTTACTGTGGGATCAAGCAATCCATGATGACAGGCATCTTCTGTTTCAGATTTTCGAATAGCAGCGCCCACAAATTTCCCCACTACTGTATCATCACTGCAAAACATCTTGGATTTATCAGACGCTCTTTCAGCAGTAGCTTGCTGCTTCTTTCTAGGGGCCAAGGCATCAGTATGATTAGATTCAATTAACGGCTGAGAACTTCCCTCTGATATTTTATTAGTCCTTGCGTGTTTCTCATTAGCAGGCATTTGATCATGCAATGCACTTCCCGGTCTACCCATAACTCCACATTCATTTTCTTTGTTTTCTTCGGTCTTACCTTTTGTAAGCTTTTCCAAGCGCTGCAGAACATTCTCCCAGTATTAAGATAACAGACAACTTTCTGTAACGACAAACACAACCTAAAACAGGCACAAAAACATAAGAACTACCTGGGTTGTTTGATTCTTGCGTCTCTGTATGCGACTAAGGAACTGCTCATACGACTGCTGTAACTCGTCTACGGGCTCTGCAAGGCTGTCCAACATTTAGTTTTAGCACAATTAAAAGCTGCCCAAGTTTCAAAAGAAAGTCCAAAATCCTAAATACTTGAATTAACTACTACTTTTTCCTGATCAGGAGCTGCTCCTCAAATTAAAGCAGTTGGAGATAAATGAAACGTTTTTGCTTTCGGGAGTTCTGTACTGAACTTTTACAAATTACGTCTTAGCTCAGCTAGATTTTTCAATTTGCTAGGCCAACAACTAAGAATAATGAGACTGAGATAAACAAAACAACAAAAGCCACAAGAAGTGGAAAGAGAACTTACTTCTGAATTCCCAAATAGTACATCTTCTCAGCGTCTTCAAATTTCTTCTTCTTCTCATAGTAAAGAGCATAAGCCCGGTAGAACAGAGAGTGCTTCGTCCCAATGCCATTCGATTCCATGGCCTTCAAAAGCGCTCTTGGATCATCCACGAAATCCATCTAAAAGCAAAGGGAAACAGTGAAAAACTCATGACTTTGCGGATTTAATAAGGAATCTCTTTTTTTAATTGCCATCGAATAAATAAAACCTAGAACAATGTAAAGACCATAAATTTCCTCAAATTCACATTCATACAAGTCCTTTTCTTCCGGTTTCTCGTCAGCCAAATTATAATAGCTTGAAAGAAAATCAAAACCGTTGAAATATTAGGGCTTGGTTATACCAACTGTAACCAAACGCGAAGGTACCGCGAGTCGTTTCGGTAACGCCGATCGGACTCGAAGGTCTGCGTGCATTTCTGAAGAAACCTGGGGAGCTTTTCCTTCAGAAGTTGAGGCGGCAACGAGTGATTCAACTTTCGGATTCCTCTGGAGCAACAAAACCATTATAAGATTGAGGAAATAAAAATGGCGGAGAGACGGAGAGAGAGGAGGAATGGAGTGAGATTTGGGGATGTGGTTGTACCGGATCCAAGGGAGAAGAGGGTCTTCGCCGGGGTAGGTTTTGATGTCGGAGACGATGGAGGCGAAGAGGTCCTTGTTGGCCATGGCGTTGAAGAAGATGGAGATCGAAAATAGCGGTGATGATGATGCAGTGGAGGCTGTGGAGGCAGGGCCACAGGCCCACAAGGGTGTTCTAATTTGAATTCAATTGCGCTCCATTTGCCTTGGATTCTGATTCTGAACTTATTTGTTTAAAAAAAAAAAAAAACAATTTGATTAATTAATCTGTAATCTACTCTATTTAACCCTATTTCTCAAAAAAAAAAAAAAAAAAAAAAAAAGACAAGTTCTACAAGATATGTTTATAAAAGTGAAATTGAAATATAAGAATATTTTAAAAAATATTTTAAAAATAATAAAGTTACATAATAATTATTATAATACTTTTTAAAGCTTATGACACAAAATTACTTAACAATTATTATAGTAATTAAATTGATTAATTAATTGGCATTTTAACCTTTTTTTTTTGTTCCTATATGCAAATTTAAGGACGAGTTTTTTAAACCTGTCGTTTTTTTTTTTTTGCTAACTAGAAATTGCCATTAAAATCACATTAGACAATATTTACTGATCATGCGTTTATTTTATATGTTTAAACCACTCTTTAAACTTTTTTGTTACAATGTATTATCTCACAAACTTAAATTTTTGTTCGATTAACTAGAAATTGCCATTAAAATCACATTAGACAATATTTACTGATCATGCATTTATTTTATATGTTTAAACCACTCTTTAAACTTTTTTATTACAATGTATTATCTCACAAACTTAAATTTTTGTTCGATCTATAAACCGAACAGACCCTAAACACAATCGGCGTCGTTTAAAATACCATTATATGCCACAAACATACAATGAAGTCAAATTTAATGATGGTTTGTAAATTGTCGTTGTCTTGTTAAAACGATTATCGTTGCATGCTTTAACAATGATTAAGAACAGCCATCTTATCTACTATTTGTTTTGGTGGATATAACATTCCAACATGTAGAACTTATAGTTACTGCTCTAATTTAATTATTTTCTAATAATTGTTGTACTTCGCAAGTCACATTTATTTGTTGACCCACAATATCTCGATCTTTAGCTACCAAAGCATCATAAATATTAAGCTTCTTGCCCGATGCGTAAATCTACATCTAATATAGACTAATAATTTGAGCAATACGCCCTAGGTTTACTTTCCAATGTGGGAACCCCGAGACTAGAAGTAATAGGATTTATTCTCATAAAAAAATATATGAATGTTTTAGGAATATTTATCAAAATAAATTTAAAAAAAAAAAAAAGCAATGTTGGATAGTAAAGTATCTACCTATTCTTATGACCAATGATTCAAAGTGAGTTCTTTAAGATGGTGCATCCGTTAAGGATATGCAGTTATGTAAAAATATAATAGGTGTATTACATTATGTGACTATCACTGAGGTTGAGATTTCTTATAACGTTAATAAAGTTCGTCAATTTGTACAAAATCCAACAAATAAAAACTGGAAGACAACTTAAGAGAATTTTAAGACATTTTAAAAGAACAACAAAGTATGGAGTGCACTAAGAAAGATTTGCATAACTGGATCTTGTGGCTTTTTATGACGCTGATTAGACCTTTTGTACTCTCGATGACATTAGGTCAAATTAATTTAGGTCATTGTGTATTTTTTGGACAAAATCTTGTGCCATGTCATTTAAGAAAGCAACACACAATCTCAAGGTTTAGTTAGTCTTGTTTTAGGAGTCACTTTGATATGATTCAGTCTCTCTTGTCTGGATTAGAGTGTAGCAATTATGGAACATCATTGATTTGGTGTGACAATGTAAGTACAGTTGTATGCTAGAACTAAGCATATAGAATTGAATCTCTATTTTGTAAGGTCATGCATTAAGCTATTGAGGTTAGACATGTTCCTGTTGCAGACCATGTTCTTACAAAGGTTGTCATAAGCTCTTAGTTTAATCAAATGAAGTTCAAACTCAACGCCTAAAATCTTTCTACCATAAGAGCTAGCTGTGGTAGTTTTGGTTGTTACATAGTTTACACATGTACAGTATGTATTCATTATGGATAACATATTTTTTTTTTCTTTTTTTTTCGGTAGTAGTAGTAGATAAGAGAATTAGTTAGGCTGATTAGAGCATTTAAAGAACGTTTATATTCATTTGTTCAATTAATGTGAATCATAAGTTTATTCGGAAATTCTTTCATTCTCTAGTTTTTCTCTTGATTTATTTTCTTCATAAATAGTACTGACAACAATTTGAGGTTGAAACTTGCAATTAATCAAACCCCAAAAGCAAAAGAGCTTTAAAAAAAATAAAAATAAAAATAAAAAATAAAAACCTTAGGAGTTGGGAATTTGAACTTACACCTTATACTAGAATTAGTGTGAAATTACTATTAGGGTATGCTTGCAGCCACACCAAATAGTCTATAATTTCACCCCTAAATCACAAGACAGTTCAAGACTCTTTATCGCAGAAAAAAAAAGAATAAAAAACTATCATATGTAGTTGATGCTGCTCATATGACGAATAGTAAATATCAATTCTTTGAACTGGACCGTTACACATTTAATAAAAATGTTATATAGTAAACATCAATTCTCATGCTAAAATCTTTATCAAGCGGGCTTTTCATGATGTACTTCCTACCAATGCTAACCTTTCGAGGAGAAATATTTCATATACATGGTAAAGGAAGAAACAAGATTCTTTGCGGCGGAGGAGTCAGAATTTTTTGGGCGTAATACAAACCAAAAATTTTGAATTATACTACAACACAATAGTCTTTTTATGTTCAAGTACCTATTTATATGTTTAATTTTTTTTTTCCTAAATGAAATAAACTTGTAATGGAGTTTAATTTTAATTTTCAACGTTTAGAGTTGAAAATTTGTTAATTTATATAATAATATAGTCTATGTTCGATTTATTAGAGATTTTAAGTTTGAAATGAGAGGACTTAAAAAAAGTAGGGTATAGTTGAAATGTTTTTAAAAATACCATGTAAATGTTGTAATTAAAACAGTTTCAGGAGGCAAATTGAGGAAAAAAAATGTAGAATTTTTTGAATGAAGGGCAAAATATAAAAGGAGCTGGGTTGGGGCCGGGGGCGGCTAGCTCCGCCGCTAGTTATCTGTGCCATTTGGTTTCAAGTTTTCAACAAAAACCTCAAAATTAACCTGTTTCATTTGGCTTACAAAGGATTACAAATAGAACCAAAGCTAATGCCCAACGACAAGGCGTTTAGAGTGAAAGGAATAAACTAGAAAACGACAACCTAAGCAAACAACCAAACGACGCATAAGGGGAAATACCCAAAACGACAATGGAAACAATATCCCAACTAATGAACCTGAGCTTCCTACATCAGCCTTTATGTGGGACGGCTAAAATCTCCTTCTGACGTTGCGAACGACGCTGCATCCTTTATCGAGGAGTTCCAAAGTTTGGGGCTGGTGGCGGACCATCCAAAGCCACCGTTCTCCTCATTTGTCTCCTCCTCCAGCCTAATGTGGATGCTTTGTCATCAGAGATGGTAATGGCCTTGTGGTTGGGGCAATGTCCAATCTGCTTCCTGCCTCTTTCTCACCAATTCTGCTCGACTCTATTGTTCACAATGATATCTCAACGTTGTGGGAAAAGGAAAATATTTAAGATCGACAATGTTGCGCATGCAAACTTTTCTCCAAATGGATCGATCTACTTGCAAATAAGAGACTTTTGGTAAAGCAATTCTAGTAGTTTGGCCACATTTTATCATACCTAATTGCTGTAGTTATTGAAAACCAAATAACTAATTTTTTTTTCCTTCATTATTTACCTTTTTCCCTCCTTAATGTTAGAAAGTGTATGCCTAAGAATTTTAGTTCAAGATCCAACATGGCCACATCATATTTATTGCAAGCTACTTCTCGTGGTAACAATGTATTGGCCAGTTTCCGTTTTGGATTTCTTGGCCTAAGCATTTATATATTGAATTTAAATGCAGGTGGGGATAGTAGTCTAGGTTTTGGGTGATCATATTACCATGTCCTCACGAGCCCGTTTGTTTTTTACAAAAAATTTGAATAAAAATAAATTCTTATCAATAGTTTTCTTACCAAATTTGAATTTATAATTAAAATCATTGACTTACGTGAACCAAAAGGCCTAATAGAAGTTTAGTTCCAACATCACTTACTAAAGATCTCTTTCCTTCTCCCTCTTTTCATCATTAGTTTTTATAAGATAGTTTCAGTATAAAATTTTGTGATATTCATGTTTTATTCTACATATTACATACTATTGTCCACTTTTTCTCTTGAAGATAAAAAAGTTTTCCTGTATTACACTTTCTGTTAGTTTTTCTAATAGCTCGTTTTAAAAGAAAAGGCATTCCATTCTATATCCTTTTGCGTAATTGGAACTACTCTTTTCATTTTCTCATTATCATAAAGCAAGTACTAGCCAGGAGAATTTGGCTAAAATAACGGAGTAAAAAAGTAAAATTAAGAAAATGACTTTTTAATTTTAGTTTTATTTATTTTATTTGAATAAATTGTTAATTATATAATTAATAACAATTCCCGTGACGTTTGCCGATTCTCAAACTTGTCTTGTAAAGTTGTTCGGACGGGTTCGGACAGTGGATTCGTACATATTCTGCTAAGACTAGATCGATTTGCCTGAACCCAGAAGAACAAAAGAAAAGGAATCCGAATAATAAGAACCGAAAATTGATTCCAAAAGTTCGGAACTTTAAACGACCAAATACCCAGAAAAGAGAAATGGGTTTCTTATGGAAATTTCGGAATTACCTTGTGTTGCAGAGGAAAAGTGGGAGGTTGACTGAGAAGAGACGCCATTGTAGAGCAACTGTACATTTTGGTGCTGTTTTTGGGGAATTTGGTTAAAATAATCAAGTGAAAAAAGTGAAAAAAGTAAAGAAAGTCATTTTACAAATAAAAGTTTTTGAAAAATTATTTTACTAATAAAATTTTCTTATTGAGTTAAAACTCTAGACTAGATCACATACTGGCACACCTAACTGCTTGAGCCTAATAATGCACAAAAAACCACCAAACCACCTTGCTCCGTACTAAACCACCATTTATATGCCACATCATCAAACTTCGAAATTGATGTTTCAAATTGCCCACCCCGCCATGCATAATGGGCTTTTCGGTTTAAATTTTTTTTTTTTT